CGAACCCCCGAAGCCAAAACAATTAAAAATGAAGTTAATTGTTTTAAACTTCTGTCTTCATTGTTTTTCCGAGATTGACATATTATTCAGGCTCACACGCCGCGGGGTTTGCTACCAGAACTTGCCCAGCATAGACATGTACATGTACACATACACATCCATGTACGCATAGCCAATACAAAAAAACGATGTTCAACTGCTCACCGTCCTCCCAGGTCCCAAAATCTACACCTGCCTCGTTTCTGTCCGTCTTCTCAATCTTTCATCAGCATCGTCAACATAAGAAAAGACCTTCTACGTCCTGGCATCCTGCTACGAACAAGATGGCTTCCCTAAGTCTAGGGGGAAACAGGAAGGCTTCTTTGTTGCTTCATCCTCTTACAGCTCGAAGAGAAGCATGACATTTGCATGGTCCTTCAAAAGAAGAGCAAGCTCCTGCCCGTCCAAGTTTTGCATGCAGAGCGGCTCAATAAAGTGCACAATGCCATTATTTCTGTGAGCTCCCTGTCTCATGGCAAACGAAACGTGTTGTGCCATTGTGTGTAAAGAAATTCTGCGTGCGAGATCATCTACACTGCAACCGTCACGGGTCCAGTTTGGTCTTCGTCCCTGGGCACACGTATTTGGAAGGGCCACACTGGGACCTAAACAGTGCTGTGCTGGTCTCTTCCAAACTTCCTCTTTCGGGACAATACAGCGCTTCAGAGCTCACGATTTTTAGGAACAATATCGCACTTCATAGCTCTGCCTTCAGGTGCATGCAGGAGCTAACTCGCATCTTCGCCAGTATATTCGTTTGTCATGCATTCCTTCCCCAACCGAACCAATGATCTCGGTTCCGTTCACCTGTACACGTATGTTTATCCTGTTCCTTGTTTTTCTGAACCAGCTCCTGGTTTGCAAATTGGTGCATACAAAGTGTTTGAAGATGCAGGACTTTCGGCATGTCGAGTAGTTGGGAATGAAACACATGGAAGTATTCTTGCGAGTGGAAGAGAGAGCCGGGGTGTAGGTTCTGACCGTGCCTGGTGCCCATGCAGTGCTGCCAGAGCGTGGGCGCACAAGGGACGGGGTCCTGTGAACTGGGCTACTGCAGAGACCGATCTCAGAACAGCTCTGCGAAAGAGGGAAGTTGGAGAGAGGCATGCACGGTCAAAGTCCAAGGCCCCAGCGCTGGCTGTACAGCAGAAAGGAAGGCCCGAGCACCTGAGCCAGCGTAGATTTAAGGAGCTGTCAGTTGCCATAAGTACATTGTAGTGGCGAGCACCGGCCATGCTTGAGGCCATGCAGGCCATCGCGAGGATGAGTCGCGCCATGTGGCCAGGACTCCTTGCAGGAGCCGAGAAGTCCAAGCTGAGGAGCCCGTAGGTCCCTCGTCGTCCCTCGTCCCCCCGCTCCTTCAAAGAGCCTGTGCTACAGGTGCAAGGAGCCTTGGCTGTGGAGCCAGGCTGCGGGCATCGAGTCCAAGGACGGCAGTCTCTGAGCAGCCAGATCATGAGCTCAAAATCTTGGAGTTGCCCTTTTTCCGCGGCATGGTCTGTTGCGAGCACATGGGGAGATCGGAGGCGAATCAGTTGCAGAAAACATGCTTTCAATTCTTGATGGATCACCCTGGACCCTTTGCTAGCAATTTCGACCTCCGGACTGCTTTACCTTTGGGCATCCGACCGCAGCTTGGGTCTCTTCCAAGCGGCGTGTGCCATCTGGGCATCTGCTTGCTGAACGTTGCTGCTCTGGACAGTGCTTCTGCCCAAAGCTTTGTTCCGCAGCGACTCGGAGAAGGCAGCTGCTGCCTGTGATAATTAACCTTTTCCGGGCAGGTAGAGCAATGAAAAACACACAAACTCTGTCCTTTCGCTCCGAAGCTCGAAGCTGACCACCTGCCCTTACACAGCACGCGTGTTTTGAGACTTATCAAAACAAGCAGCGGTTCCTACCTACGACGATTGACGGATTGGGTGGTGTTTTGGAGACTGGCTACTTCGGGGTTATGCAGTACGACACACTCCGGTGCACCCTGCAGATGTTCTCTCACGCTGAAATGCTCTTATTGGGGTAGCTTGTGACGACAGTGGTGGTGTCTGCCGTGGAATCCTCCTACGTGAAACACATCTCTCTCTTCCGAGTATCAATCGGAAAAAGAGCGGGAAGCTGGCCACAAGGCACACCTGAAGAACGATGCATTTGCCCACACGAAGTGCCTTACTTCAAGGCCTAGGTGACTCCGACAGAAAAAAGTTCGTCACTCCACTGCGTCGCGTCTGCCCATGGAAGGGGAACGTATCTCACAGCACCTCATCTCCACGAGTCACGAGTCTTGGCTCTGGGCCAAAGCCCCTTTTTCCATCCCCTCCCTTGAAGGGCAATCGCGGCCCAGCTGAGGCACAGCCGACTGAAAACGGCGCAGATCATGGCAGCCGGCCACACGCGAGGTATCCCGGGGAGAACCAGAAGGGCTCGGCTTGCTCGGCTTTCAGAGTCAACCCAAACCGACGGCGCTTTATTCCAATTGAGGGTCTCACCCGTGATCCCGCAGCGAATTCGATGCGGAGTTTGCAACTAGCCTGCAAGCCTCGCCGTTGCCATAACGTCCTTACCAAAATCAGCCGCGACTTTAGGGGCTTGTCGACGATTGGAAAAAAGACGCTTTCAGCTTGCTGAGCTCAGGGCATTTGCAGTGAAGACGACCTGCGGGGCCATCAGGGTTGACCAGCTTCGACCGAGGCCCAAGGCACCCCACAGCAAAAAAAAACAGCTCTGCCTCTTCTTTGCGAAGCGCTTCATGTTACAGCACCTTGAGGACTCTGGTCCGGAACCCAACAGCTTCCAAACTCTCCATGACAGCAAAAAAAGTGTGTGCATCCGAGGCACTGCTGCTATAGCAGCAGCAGTGGCACCAAGTCAAGGCAGGACATGTCTGCCACAAGAACCGCAGCACATCGCGAGACATGGCTGTTTAACGGTCGTACAGGGTTTGAGACGTTTGGCTTTTGGCTCTTGTCCCTTGCGCAAAACTAATTTGTGACTCGTTGGTTTTTGTGGCAGACGTGTCGCACCGCCGACTCACAGCTGAACGGAGCCCGGCAAGGGGCACCTGGCAGCACTTTTCTGTGTGATGTCTGCAACTCTCCTTGCCGAGAGCCCGCCTTCTCAGAGAGCACGCCTGGGTCTGACATGACTTCTTCTGGGTCCTGAGCTGCAAGACTGGCACAGCCTTACGAAGTCTTCAAGAGAGATAACCCCCCCGAAGTCGTCTGAAAGGTGTCTCTGAAAGGTCTTGTGTTGGCTCTGCCCAGCCCGAACTGCTGCGCAAGGTCCTTGCACCGGATTCGCAGACACCGCCTCTTCGGCATCTGCTCTCTCAGTCGCCGCAGTGGCACGGCGGGCCTGGGGATTCATAAACGAGACACCGCTTGCAACCAAACCAATCGATTCGTGACGAAGCCAACAGCAGCGGAGTTGAAGTGGACATGGAACCATCATCATCAGAATAGCACACCAGCCCAACACAACCCTCCAACTCCTTCAAGAGGCTCGACCTTCTTTGCCTTGGCTTTTGGAGCAGCCCTGATGCACGCCCTGATCAGACTCTGGGCCTCCATGGGCCGCGGCGCTCGACGCCTCAACTGAGAGAGATGAGAGGAGAGGAGAGGAGAGGAGGGAGGAGAGATGCTGTGATCTTAGAGTTTACGCCAATGGGTTTCTTTCATAAACGATCGCGTCCTTTCGGGAGCAACATGAACATGGACTGCAGCCCTGCAATCTTCAAGTGGTTCAAGGCCTCGACTCGCTGAGGTGCTCTGCACTGCCTCGTCATTCGTGATTAGACGGAAATATTGAAGTATCATACTCAATCTTCAAGTCTCTGGAGCAGATATAAAAGCCTGCGCGACACGACTGCTGCATTCAAGAGAACAAGCAGGCACCAGAAAATGTGAGACTTCCCCCCAACGTGTTTGATGAAAGAAGTGCCTCTCTCTCTCTCTCTCTCTATCAGCACAGCCCCCCAACTTCAAGCATGTCATTGCTTATCATTTATCAATCATGTATCAAGCATTATCAAGCCTTTCGGCAGATGAGGTGGACGGCGGGCGTCATAGCCCATCCGCCCAATTTCATCACCTTGCCACACGTGTAACATCGTGTAACTGTTGCTGGCATCGGGCGCACCCAAGGCTTGAAGCAAACACCTTTGGAAACGCACTGACAATCGCTGACGGGCCCATCGCATGAAGTTCTCAACACAGAGGCCTCCGACAGCCGCACCCGGCAGAGACTGGCGCAGTTCCCGGAGGTCGTACCTACGTTTGAGGCATCTTTGAGGGCTGAAGGCTTTCTACTCAGCGCAGAGCTCGAAGCGACCAAGTTTAGAGGGTCCATCGCGAAGACTCAGTAGTAGCTGCTTCGTAGCTGCTTAGTAGCTGAGATCAAGGCACATGTGAGGGCTGAAGCTCGACGTTGTTATGTGCATGCAGGGTGCGAGTCCCGCAGATCGCGGTACGCCAGAGAAGGAGATGTCGCTCCTTGTTTAGCATGAAAACAAACAGGGCAGAAGCGGAGGCACAGAAGGCGATGCTTTGAGGACCGAACCCACGCCGCTGGTGTCTTTTCGGAGGCCCGGTCTCCGGGCCTGCGAGAGCGAAAGCACACTGCCCCTGAGCCACAGACTCGAAAGCACACTTCGAATGACTGCGTTGCGCTCGTGCACCTGGCTCCTTCCCCAGTGCCACTCCCCGCTGGAGGTCTGCGACCCCTCGGAGCTGCGAGCCTCGCTTGGAGCGGAGCGCATCAATGCAGGAGTCTCTGTTGTTGCAGCCTTTACGGAAGCCCTGCCTGGCCGGGGAGTACGGGCTTGCTCGGGTTCTCTCTGCAGACACGCTCGTGGGATCCCCAGAAGGGCAAGCGGTTCCTGGGTGCCACCATGTGTTAACTCTGCCAGACAAAGCAAGCCCTGCCGCCACTAAGCATACACATGTGACTTGTACTACTCCAGTCTGAGCATTCCGCCCGCTCTTGAGCTGGCCCTTCTTTGTGACGCACCTCGTAAGATGAGGTTTGCAAAGGCAGCAAGATGCTACCCGAAGCACATCGCGGCAGGGCAAGACAGGATCGGGCATGCGCGCTTGCACCAAGGCACGGTCTGCAACACCAGTAGCAGGGGACGATCTCGTCGGCCGCATAGGCGAGCCCGAGTTTGTCAAAGTGATGCTCATGCATGTGCAACCTGCCGAAGACAAGGAACACATAATGCTTAAATCTAGGGCCTAACACGTCTGCAGTCAACCTCGCTCTCAGACAAATCCATCCTGTGCTTTGAACGGCCTCCACCTCTCGAAGGATCCCAGGATGAGGTTCTCCGGCTTGCCTCACAGAGTACGTTTCGAAGGCTAAGCGGCCAAGCTTGTTCGAGTGTCTTGTACCTTAGGCCCTTGGACGTCTCGGGTCGAGCTGTTTCTGTAGCCCTGCTGGCCCTGCCTTCCTGGCTCATGCCGCAACCTCGGAGCCGACAACAAAGCCTTCTGGTTGAGGGCTTCTCGTGTACTCTCTTTGGTCTACGGTCCAAAGAGGCTCAGTGCGGCTTGGCACAAAGGAGCACACGGAAAGTCACGCAGCTTCAATGCTGGCAGCTGACATTGCATGTACAACCCTGAAAGCACACAGCTTGAGATTGCTCGCTGGACAAGCAAGAGTTGTAATAGTTCACAGATGGCTGCTCAGCGTCCAGCACCACGGGCACCAGCAAACCTTTTCCGAAGGGTCAACAAAGAAGTACAGGATGTCGAGGTCAGCGGACATGCGACTGCGAGGACCTACAAGATCTCGCAGAGATAGACATGCCTCGTCAGCTGTGGCCGGAGATGATGGAGGCAGCGACGTCTGTTCTGAGTCCTGCCACATTACATCTCTTTAAGGGACGTGGGTCGCCTCGGCCTGACACGCGTTCTAAGGCTGCCAAGACAATGCTGGAGCATGGACCCTCCAACTCCACAGCAGGAGATGTTGACCCAAAATTCGTCCATCAAACGATCTCGAGAGTGGCTACACGAAAGGTGCCCCACCTCGCGTGGCCCGTCTGCGTGCCTTGGGCCAACCGCTGTGTCAACTTAATTGCCAGCTATTGCAGCGAAAATCGGCATCCTTTCCAAGTTCTAGCGGTTGTTCGAAGGATTGACGTGCGAATGGAGATGTCGCGACAAGCAAACTCCCAAACTCCCTTCTTTCGCCTCGCACGATGCGCACCCTCTGGAGTGGACTTCTCGGCGGTGGGCAGAGAGTGACCAAACCTCAGAATGAGACTCGTGAAAAACTGAGACCCATTGCAGCAGTGACCTGCAGCAAAACAGAGCCGACCTGGCATGCTGCACATCGCCATCCCGGCGATAATCATCTGGCTTTTGTTTCCAATACCTCGACTGGTCACATTACGGGGGCAAAGCCGAAGCAGAAGTCTCACAGCCTCACCATGCATTTGTCATTTGATTCGGCTACAACAACGAACACGCAAGTACGGTATTGAAGCATAGGCAGCTTCAGTCATCAAGAAGCTCCAGTAGCTAAAAGCAGCATCACTAGGCAACGGGCGGGACTTGCTCGGCGAGGTCAGGGCCAGGCACCTTCCAAGGTCGCGCGCGATCTTGGGGAATCGCTTGCGATGGAGAGTGTCCTATCTTGAAATGTGTGCCGTGATCGCGTGTGCTCCAGCGCAAAGCGCATCCAGATGGTCTTTCGTCATCTGAGCCCAAGCCCAAGCTGTTGCTAGTGCCTGTCACGAGCTTGGCCTAGAAACAGGGCTAGGCCTGGAAGCCTAATTTTGGTTGATTCGTTAGCCAGGTGACATAGACACATTACGGAACATGCCCACAGGGCAGGTGCCTTGAACAAAACCTGTGAGTTCCCGCCTCCAAGACCGGAGGCCGCTGCCGCTTCCCTTGCCTGGGTACAAGTATCCGGCTCTTCTCAGCTCGGAAAGGATGAGGCTTTCCTTCGACCGCCTACTCCGACTGAAGCTCTCTGACCGGCGGCTGCAACCGAATAGCAGCATAGCATTACGGAGAAGGTGTGTAGTCGAGAGCACGAGCATCAGTCGAAATGCTGGCGGTATCAGCATACTCTAACTAGCATGCAATTTTGCCGACCGCCGATGAGCTGTCGCTTGGAGGTTCCAAGCATTCGCTCGCGTAAGCTGAGCTCGCGGACTCGGGCACGCTGGACAGCTCAACCTGGGTCAAAAGGTCTGCCGCCACAACCTGCGAAAAGCCTACCATGATTTCTGCCCTTTGCTTGGAGCAATGCAACAATCACTCAAAGGAGCTTAAGCACCGAGCACGCGATAGGTCCACAACAAGGCAAGTGCAGTTGTCGTCACTGCGACGTGCCACAGCCTTCAGCAGACTTTCGCACAACCCTAGTGGTTGTTGTCCACGGCAATACAGTCTGTTCTAACCTGTTCGGGAAGAATCTTGCTTTGCTCTGCAAAACCTGGCCAATCCGAGGATCCCGCCGCGCAGACCAGCGCATGGCTCACTGCCGACAGCGGCGACGAGGGCAGCTGCTGGGCTCGCGACAGACACCTCAGCTCATCTCAGCACACTCTGGCACAAGCTCGGGTCCTGGCCGCGAAACTTGGTGGACTGTTTGCTTCGTGCACAGCAACAAGCACAACATCAACCCAGCCGGCATCGGCAATCGTTTGATCTTGCCACTCATCTTCGCGGTTAGGTCTGCGACCAAAGCCAATGTGATCTTCCCAAAACAGTCTTAGTTACACGCACACCTCCGCTCAACCGCGACATGTGCTGTTCTCGATGGTGGCAGCTCCGCATGTCGCTTCTCGCGGCTGTCTGTCATGGCCCTGACATTCGATGTCTTCCGTGTAGACGCCCTGAATCTCTTCGCGAGACTGTCTGGACTTCGCAAGTTGGCTTTGGTGTCTCATCCGAGACCAGCTAAGTCATCCCAGTCGAAATCAGAATTCCGAACGACCTCACCGGCAGAAGAGATCAGGGTTCTGTGGGGCACATAGCGGATGCCGTATGGCTCCGATGGAACCCCAGCACCATGCCAGACATTGCTCTTCAAGCGATTGGTTGCCCCAAATTCCCCAGCTTTGCCGACACCTCAGAGTGGGATCGATGGGCTTTTTGGCTGCACGCATTGCCCAAGATGTCTAGAGCTCGAGCAGAAGTTCACGCCCTGCCTTCCAAGTTGATGAGTACGAAATTGACAGAGTCCTTCCGAAGCGCACGGCCAACGAAGCTGGCTCTGCACAGAGCATGACATGGCAGTGCCAAGAGCTAGGTCAACCGTTTTTCGTCGAACCGGCAGAGTGCAGATTTATCACCGTGGCTTCTTTGGTTCTGACTGCATCGATACGAGTACCACTTGGCTCTCAAGTGTCCGCACGCATGCAGCCTCGAAGTGCTGGCTGACTACGCCGTTTTGCCGATCGCCAAATACTTCTCACATTTCAGTCTTGCTGATAGTTGCAGGAACTTGCGGAACATTGTTCTGAGCCTTGGTGAAAAAAATCCGGCTGAAGCGTAAGCAGGGCGGGGATTGTGCAGCGCGGGCCAACTCGCGAGCTCTCCATGCATCCATGCCGCAGTGAGCATATTGGGGTTCAGTCATTAGTGTTCTTAGGAATTGTGTAGAGCTGTGGATCGCGCCTGGAAATGTCTTTCTCATGCACCTCTTTCGACGGTCAAGATGATGTCGACTTTACCCTCCAGCCTAAGCGTCCTAGCATGACATGTTGCCAGCAGCCAGCAGGTTTTCCCTCACTTACAACCACGATCTAGCACAGTTTGCGAAAGTTGAAAACTATTGCTGGTCCCGTCCTTGTACTTGGCAGATGCGGCATGCTTTTGCAGCTCGGTGCTTGCCCGCACGCAGAATTGGCAGTAGTTGCAGTAGAACATGATGAGGGTCGGCCTTCCCTCCTGGCACCAGGGCAATGACCAAGATCTCACGGGGTTCTTCCGACAAGAATCAGGAAAAGGCAAATGCCTCGACAAACTGCGACAGGGATTTCGTCGACTCATCCAGAAGCTGGATATCAAAGTCCGGCGCTGGTTTTCCAAGCAAGTCTTTGGCCATTGCGCTTCAGCTCAGTGTCTTTGAGCCAGACTGAGCCAGAGAAGCTTGCCGTGCATTTCGCTCGCAGGAAAAGAGCTGCGAGTGAATCTGGGGTTGCGGCATGGAGACGACTTCTTGAGACGACCTGATGTCGATATCGAAACGTGCGCATCTGCGACTGTGACTTGAAACAGGAAAAGCTCCGAGCACCAGAGTCTCTGTGATCTCCAATTTGACCTAAGGCTCGGGCATAAAGCCGAAAATGCCGTCTGACGCCATGAGCAGATATTGCTGCCCAGGACGTCGCCTTGGCTCAGAGGGCCATTTTGCAATGACATGAGGCACCTTCTACTACCTGGCCATCAGGTCCAATAGGTAGCCCGACACTATCGTCTGGATTTCAGGAAGGCCGGAGATGATGTGGCCCTCCGCAGGTCCCTGGCTGACTTGCTTGTATCACATCTCGGGATCTTCCATCAAATCAAAACAGACAAGATATCAGACCTGTGGCTTTGCCCAGTAGTCCCCCAGCGAACGCGTTGTCGCCTGATCAGTACCAGCACCACTGATACAACCAACATCGAGAGCTGGCCGGAATCCAGACAGGGGCTGGGAAGGCGCGTCATCGATTCCGAGGTCCAGACGAGCCGCCCAGGAGCACCTGCACATGCACACATACACACATGTACACATGCACAAATGCACACATACACACCTACACACATACACATATACACGCATACACACATGCACACATGCACACATACACACATACATACATACATACATACATACATACATACCTACGTACATACATACATGCATGCATACATACATACATACATAACACACACACATATATATATATACATATATATATATATACATATATATATACACATAATATATATATATATATAGTGAATATGTGTGTATATATGTGTTTGTATACATCACCAACACAAAAGTTTTGACATACGGACAATAAAACCATGAACATATACGGTGGAGAAGCGGAGAGGCCGCGGGTCCGTTTTACATGTCCAGCGTGGTGGAGTAGTTAATCTCCCGGAATAAATTTACACTGCTATATAGTTCTCGGCTGTTTAGTTCTCTGCAGATTGGATCTCGCGTGAGGAGTCTGAGGGGGAAAGGGGGTTGCAATGCCTCACATGTTGAGTTAGAGGCCGCCTGGCGAACTTTCGTAATGGTATGTGTATATATGTACATGCACACATGCAAATGTGCGTGTGTGAGTATGTACATATGTATATATACATATATGTACATATATATACACATACACATACATACACATACATACACATACATACACATACATACACATACATATATATATATATGTGTGTGTGTGTGTATACCTATATCTATATGCTACCCCCCCCCCCTCAAAGATCTATGTGTTTTTACTTTTTGCCCTGCTGTTGCGGCTTAGACAGTCAGGCAAGGATAACCCGAAACACAGTCCCCAGTTGAATCGTAGCTTAGTGTGTAAAGGTTTCCTATGAAGGAAATGAGGAACCAAGAATCATAACCTTACAACTTCCTTGTAGTATACCTTGAAGAGCTTCATACCCTATGGAATACCTTCTAACTATAGGCTACAGAACACCTTGTGTACAACACCTTATGGAGTACCCTATAGAATACCTTATAGAATTCCCTATAGAATACCATCTGGGATACCCTGTGCTCGAATACCTTACAGAAGACTGCCTGTGTAATATACCCGTTGTATACATTGAACATACCTTATAGAATATCCTCCAGAATACTTTTCAGGATGCCCTTTAGAATGCCTTGTAGAATACCCTATAACATACCTGACACAAGTAGAGCAATCAGGAAAATCAAGAGGAACCCAAGATCTGAGAAGTCACTAGTCAAGTTGTAGCTTATTGAAACAGGGATTTCTAGGAAAGGAACAGTAAATTTAGGAGCATTGCCTATAGAATACCTTACAGAATACCCTTTCTACAAACTTTAAAGAAATTAATATAAAATGCGGTAATACCTTATAGACTACCCCTATATACCTTGTACCTTGTTGAAAACCCTGTAGCCCAAAAAGTACGATTTGAAATACCTTGTAGAATACCTTCCTATATACACACCATATAGAATAGCTTCCACAATACCTTCTGGAACAGCCTATAGAATACTCGATCAAATGTGTGGTAATTTTCTTTATGAAATGATACTATACATCCTATCTATGTTTTATAGAATACCATCTTAAACAGCTTATAGGGTGCATTATAGAATACCCCATGTATATGATACCCCATGTACAGCTTATATATACTCTGTACGAAATTTGGTGCAATCGAACCGCCTTTCGCTGTCCTCGTTTTCAGAAAGCGCAGCGGTTTGATACCACCAAATTTCCTGAAACGACACCCTTCGGAACATTTGATGCTTTCGAACTGCCCCTGCTTGTTGTCAGTACTTGCAATGGCTACTACAGCGGTTCGATAGCACCAAATGTTTGAAGCAAGCTTTTCGGAAATCTTCGGAATCTATCGAACCGCCGGCTTAAGGTTTGCAAGGCGTAGCAGCTCCGATGGTGAAGCGACACCCTTCAGAAAATCTGGTGCTGTCGAGCCGCCCTTCGCTGCCCTCCGGTTCGGAAAACGCAACGATTCGATAGCACCAAATTTTCTGATCGACACTTCGCAAAACTTGATGCTATGGAACCGCCCCTGTGTGTTGACCGAATTTGCAACGGATAACCCAGCGGCTCGATAGCACCAATCTTCAGAAGGAAACCCTACGGCCCTACGGTAGACAGCAGCTCGATGGCACCAAATTTTCTGAAAGGAAGCCCTTCGGAAAGTTTGGTGCTATCGAGCCGCCCGTTGCCGTCCTCATTGTAGCTTATTGAGTCAGGGATGTTTATGAAAAATCAGGAATCCAGGCAAGTTGCTTTCAGAATACCTGACAGAATATCTTTTCTGCAAGCCTCAAAGATTTCCTATAGAATACCTTTGTAACCCTTATAGAATACCCTCTATATACCCTAGATATACCTTATTGAAGACCCCGTAGCTTATAGGATACCTTGTCGAATACTTTCCTGTACATACACTTTGTAGAATACCAAACAATGTCCTCCGTATATATGCTATATAAAAGCAGAATACCAAATAATGTCCCCGTATATATGCTATATGGAATACCATCTGGAATACTCTATAGAATACAGTACCTGGTAGAATACCCCTTATGTATGATACCGCCTGCATAACTTCTTTTTTACCCTATACGAAAGTTGGTGCTATCGAGCGCCGCTCGCCGTCATATGCTATGTAGAATACCATCTGGAATACTCCATAGAATACAGTACCTGGTAGAATACCCCTTTTGTATGATACCGCCTGCATAACTTCTTTTGTACCCTATACGAAAGTTGGTGCTGTCGAGCGCCGCTCGCCGTCCTCATTCTCGGAAAACGCAGCGGTTCGATAGCACCGAAAGAGCAAAACTGTCCGAGCTGTTAGAAATGGCTCGTTTCGGATAACTCGGAAAATTTCCACAATAGCCAAATTATCCACATTTGTCCAAATTATGTGATATTGCTCGTTTCGGATAGTTCAGATAAACCGTAAAGTTTCCGAAAAATCTGATGTAAATTAGCGGACAAGCGGAGTAGTGGCTTTGAGACATGAAGGGTTGCAACGTGAAAGATGCAGTTGCTTCAAGCTGCTTTGCTATGCGCATGTAGCAGAAATGCACATGCAGACTGCCGCAGACATGCACATGCAGACTGTCACAAGAGCCGTGAAATAAGAAAACCAAGAAGGGCAAAGGACCACATTGAAATATTGAAACATTGAATTTCATTATGGCGGATCCAAGATCCAAGATCTAAGATTGCACGGGACTCCTGGAGGGAATCTTGGATTCAGTGAGGGCCATATTGAGATATTGAGACCATCTTGGATTTCAATATAGCAGATCCAAGATCCAAGATCCATGATCCAAGATTCTTCCGCAAGAGTCCCGTGCAATCTTGGATCTTGGATCTCGGATCTGCCACATTGAACCTCACTATGGCCCAATATTTCAAAATGGGCCTCCCCGAGACCATATTGATACATTGGGCCGCATTGGGTTTCAATATAGTTGGTTTGTGCGGTGATGAGGAGATGATCCGAGACATGTGAGTTGAAGGAGGGGTTTGTGCCGTCATGAGGAGACGATCGCGAG